AGGAGACGCAGCGTCTGGGTCCCTCAGGGAACTAGGGTTACATACGTAACCTTGAGACGTTCCCCTTCAGGAACTCGAGCTGCGTCGAATGCTTTGGGAACGAGATGCCCACGCCGCCAGACTTTCAAGTCCCTGCGTAGTGTGTATGACTTCAGCACAACTACGGCAAAAGGACAGGTCAAGGTCGTAGAACCTGACGAAGGTGAGTGGAGTAGACCAGCCCGCAGCGTTACATATATATTCTGTATAGCCACACCCGACAGGAAGGCCTTAGAGGCCGCCACACTTCGGGTGGAGTGAGCCTTGACCCCTAAGGGTGAGGGAAGGCCAGAGGACTCATATGACATAGTAATGGCATCAACAATCCACCTACTGAGGGTCTGCTTAGTGGCAGGCAGACCCCTCTTGGAAGGACCATAACAAACAAATAATTGGTCAGACTTCCTCCACATGGCAGCTCTGTGGACATATGTATCCAGTGCTCGCACTGGACACATGCAATTTAGCTTCTGCTGGTCAGGCTCCCTAAAGGGGGAAGGACAGAAAGCCTGAAATACGATGGGCTGTGGTACTGAGGAGGGCATTTTAGGGACGTACCCCAGCCTGGGGTACAGAAAAGCTTTGGCCAAGCTGGGCGCAAAGTCTAGGAAAGAGGGCGCCACTGACAAGGCCTGCAAATCTCCGACTCTCTTCAGTGAAGTGATGGCTAACAAAAAGACAGTCTTAAGTGTCAGAACTCGATCTGAAACCTCCTCAATAGGTTTGAACAGAGGTTTACAGAGAGCCTCCAGGACCACGGCCAGGTCCCATGGTGGAACACGAGGTCGTACGGGAGGCCTCAGCGCAACGCGGAGGAAACGTGTAACCAGGGGGTGTCTTCCCACAGACTGACCACCGAGAGGGGCGTGGTAAGCAGTTATAGCCGCCACGTACACCTTCAGGGTGGAGTGGGTCAACCCTGCAGAGAATCTAGCCTGCAAGAACTCTAGCACTGAACCGACCGGGCAGTTAACTGGGTCAAGCTGGCGATCTCTACACCAGGAAGTGAAGAGTTTCCACTTCAGGGCATACAGTTTCCTCGTAGAGGGAG